ATGAACCGGATTCTTAGTCATACTAATAGCACTAGTGTTATCACAGAAAATAGGGATGCAACCAACTTCAATACCAAAATCCATCAACTGCTACTTGATCCACAACAATTGAGCACAATATGAAGCAGTAGCAACATACTCAACTTCAGTAGTAGATAAGGCCATTGATTTTTTGCTTTTTGGTAGACCATGACACAAGACATGAACCAAGGAAGTGTGCCATACCTGTGGTGCTCTTCCTATCCACAAGGAAACCTGCATAGTCAGCATCAACATATCCTACTAGGTTAAAGTTACTACCTTTTGGATACCAAAGGTAAAGGTCAGTAGTGCCTTCCAAGTATCTCAATATTCTCTTGACAGCAGTCAAGTAGGACTTCTTTAGGATTTGCTTGAAATCGAGCACAAAGACCTATACTGAAAACAATGTCAGGTCTGCTAGCAGTAAGATACAAAAGAGAACCAATCATTCCCCTACACAACTTCTGATTAACAGATGAACCAGGTTCATCTATATCCAATTTCGTGGATGTTGCAATAGGAGTGTCAATTTCTTTGGATGTTCCTTCCTGGTTTTGTTACTGAGTAATAGGTTCATGGACAGGTTCCCTCGAGGTTGGAGGATTAGTTCCTCTCTAGTCAGTTCCCCCTGTCATGTTGCCCCGGGTGGAAGGACCTGTTCCATCACCTGTTCCTTCCTGTGATGCATCTTCAGGCTGGACTGTGGTTTCACCATTTAAATTTCTTATCAGCCCAATCTCTGCATTATCTTGTTCCTGCCTCTCAGAAAGAATGTTAATTTTAAAAAAAATAATATATACATTTTTTCTACACACATAGTTCTTTTATTGATATCTTATAAGCTTTACTATGTGAAGAATATCCCAAGAATACTCCCTCATCACTTCTGGGATCATACTTACCTAGGGAGTCTTTGCCATTATTTTGCACAAAGCACTTGCATCTAAATTCCCTAAGATGGGATATATTTAGCTTTCTCCCTTTAAGTGACTCATAGGGAATCTTCTTAACAAGAGGTCTAGTCATGCAACTATTTATGATGTAGCATGCAAAAATTCAGCAAACTTAGCATTTTCAAGTTCAGTTCCATGATCAGACCTAATCGATGCAAGTTGATTACTTAGTTATTTCTGAGTTTTTCTAACAAAAGAAGTAAACATGTCAAATGCTTCATCTTTAGATGTTAATCACAATGTCCAAGTAAACCTAGAGCAATCATCAACAAGCACCATCACATATCTTTTACCACCTCTGCTTAATGTTCTTATTGGACCACAGAGATCCATATGGACCAGTTCCATCGTTCTGGTGGTGCTTACCACTTTCTTGCATTTAAAAGAGGATCTTACCTGCTTCCCCCCTTGCACAAGCCTCACAAACTTTGTCTTCCTTGAACTTGATGTTAGGCAGCCCTATCACCAGATCCTTGGAGACTAATTTGTTGAGTTGACTCAGACTTGCATGTCCAAGTCTCTTGTGCCAAAGGAGGGGATCATTGTCCAACGCTTGCATGTCCAAGTCTCTTGTGCCAAAGGAGGGATCATTGTCCAACACACTTAAGCAAGTGAGTTCATTTTCTGAAAGTGTGGACAAATCTACAATGTATGTATTGTTTACTCTTTTTCCCTGCAAAACAATCTTGTCAATGGTAAAATTAATCACAAAACATTTGGTAGAGGTGAATGCTACCAAGTTACCTCTATCACACAATTGTGATACACTGATTAGACTGTACTTCAGGCCATCTATCAAGTAGACATTCTCAATAGAGTGAGAATTAGTCTTACCTACCTTTCCAACCCCAATGATCTCACATTTCTTCACATTTCCAAAGGAGACATTACCTCCTTTGAAGTCCTCAAGTGAAAGGAACTGGTTCTTGCTTCCTGTCATATGCTTTGAACAGCCACTATCAATGTACCACATTAGGCTGCTCCCCTTCACTTGGACCCGCAAAAGGAAATCAGGGGTTAGTCTTAGGAACCCAAACTAGTTTGGGTCCCTTTCTATAGGCAAAAGGGTAAATCAGATTCTTTTTAGCCCAACCTGGCAGCCTATTTTTCCCTTGAACAAATTCTTTATTCTTTTGACTAGCCTTTTCTTTTGCAATACATTCACTTTTATAGTGACCAGTTTTACCACAGTGTGTGCAAATTTTATTCTCAGGAAGTGTGAGGTACTTGCTTTTGGGATCCCACTTAGGTGCAGGGGTCCCGTAGCCAAGTCCTCTCTTATTGCTACTATGGTGTTCATGTAGCCATGAAAGTGCATCGGAGGACCTATTCCATTTACAGGTTCTATCTAGCTCGTGCTTAACCTTGTTTAGATCCTCCTTAAGGACTCTTATCTGCTCATCTCTTTTGTACAACTCATCTTTCATTTTTCCTACATTTTCTTCTAAAGTGAGTTGTGTGTGATCAGATTTCTTTTTACCAGTTCCTAATTTCAATTTTAGATTTTCAGATTTAAGCTCTAGGACTGTGGTGTCAAGTTCATGAACCGGTTCTTTAACTCAGCATTTTTACTTTCACTTTCACTAGCCCTAAGTTCCAGATTTTTGCAATTAGCTTTCAAAATCACACACTCCTTAGACAGCTGTTTGTTTTCATTGTTTAGATCCTCAGATTCATCAATGAAATCCAGGAGTAACTCAGATAGCCTTTCTTTAGACAAAAATTTAATCTTGTCTTTGAGATGAATTATACTTACCTCAAATTCCTCATCTGATTCTCCAATTGCCATAAGTGCTTGTTCATCTCCATCTTCATCCTCTGAGTCCTCATCTGAGCTTTCTCCCCAAGCAGCAACCATAGTCTTTGTTGATCCTTTGTTCTTCTTGGGATGAACATGTTCCTTTTTCCTGTTCCTTCGTTCAGCTCTTTCCTTCTTCCATTCAATTTCCCATTGAGGGCAGTTTTTATGTGGTGATCAGTCTTCCCACACATGTAACACCCCTCATTGGTTTGTTTTTCAGGAACCCTTGGTTTGATGTAGTTTCCACTTCTTGAATGACCATTTCCTGTCATTAGGTACTTCTTGAAGTCCTTTGTGATCATGGTCATTTCATCCTCCTCTAGATCAGCACCTTCAGTAATTCTGAATGCCAGGCTCCTTTCCTTCTTGGGTGCATCCATCTTCATGGTTTTCCTTCTAAGTTCATAGGAAGTGAGATTTCCAAATAGCTCATCCAACTTAAGAGTGGCAATGTTCTTTGATTCCTGAATAGCTGTGATTTTGCTTTCCCAAGAGAATGGCAGTACCCTTGTCAAAATCTTCTCAACTTTGTCTTCTTCAAGAATAACCCTTCCAAAAGACATAAGTTCATTTGTCAGTGTGGTGAACCTTGTATACATCTCTTGGATGGTTTCCCCTTCCTTCATGGTGGAATTCTCATATTGAGAATACAGCATTGTTCCTCTTGATCTTTTCACTTGAGGTGTTCCTTCATGGGCCACTTGCAAGGTGTCCCATATCTCCTTAGCAGTAGTACAGCTTTGGATCCTACTGTACTCATCTGGACCTAGTCCACACACAAGCCATTTCTTGGCCTTAGCATTTTTCTCCCACTTCCTCAGGTCTTCAGCAGTACAGTCAGCCATTGTCTTTGGCACATCAACTCCTTCAGAATTCTTCTTTGTGGTTGCTAGGGGACCATCAGTGACTATGTCCCAGAGTTCATAGTCTTCCCCTATGATGTGATCTCTCATCCTGTTCTTCTACCAAGAATAGTACTGACCATTGAAAAGTGAAGGCCTAGTAGTGGATTGCCCTTCCCAGTTCCCAGGTGGTGCACTCATGTTGATCTTCTCCTAAGGTGTTAGCCTCTTCAAGGATAACCTGCTCTGATACCAATTGATGTTCTAAACCTCAATACCACACAAGAGGGGGGTGATTTGTGTGGTACCCAATTTTCGCTTTAGAAGAACCTGGTTCTTCTAGGTGTACTTACTATTACTGTTTGCGGAATTACGAGTGCATAAAATAAAGAACACAGAGATTTTTACGTGGAAAACACCTGGCTCAAAAGGTGAAAAAACCACAACCTACTACTCAGTAGGATTTTCCCAAACTTCCACTAAAATCACTGAGCCAAAACAGCATTTACAAAACTCTTGTAAACCTAAGGATTAAACTCTAATCCCAGTGTGGCACACAGCCTCAACTGTTGCGACACCTTCAAGTTAGCCTATAACTTGAATACTCAAAGTACCTATTACAATTGCTTCTACAAAAGCTAAAAGGTACAATATGAAACACCTACAACAATTGAACTATAAATAAAGAAAGACACATAAAACTCTTTATGGAGCTGGTTCTTCAATCTGGTTCATGTAGCTTCTGGTTTGCACACTTGAATCACACACGAACTGCTTGCAAAAAGCCTTGCTATTTTGCTCCCAATTCACGTTTAACTTCTGCGTTTTTGTGCAACACTTTAATGTGAGAACATCCTGGAATTTATAGAGTTAGTAGATGAAGAAATAACTAGAGTTCTGATGCAACTCTTCCTTGGTGGAAGAGTTCTAGTTGATTTCAACTTCACCAAGTTAAGCTTATCTCTTTCACGTGCAACCCACATGCTTGAATCTGCCCGTTTTTGTGCACCTGAGGGATGGACCACTAGATGGACCTGGTTCATGTCTGAGTTCCTTTGTTAGTCTTCAAAACTAACCTTTACTTGGGCCAACAGTTTGGGTACACAGGTGAATCTTAGCATAGCCTTCCATCCACAGACCAACGGGCAAGCAGATCGGACTATTCAAACGCTTGAGGACATGTTGTGTGCTTACATTCTTGATTTTAAAGGTAGCTGGGATGATCATTTGCCACTCATAGAGTTTGCTTATAACAACAGCTATCATGCTAGCATTCAAATGGCACCATTTGAGGCGCTATATGGTAGGAGATGTAGATCTCCCATTGGGTGGTTCGAGATTGGGGAAGTTGAATTGATAGGACAATACCTCGTGCATCAAGCTATGGAAAGGGTTAAAATCATTAAGGAGTGGTTGAAAGCTGCCCAAAGCCATCAAAAATCCTATTCGGATGTTCGTCGCAGGAATTTAGAGTTCAAAGAGGATGATTGGATATTCTTGAAAGTTTCCCCTATGAAGGGTATAATGCGGTTTGGAAAGAAAGGGAAATTAAGTCTGAGGTATGTTAGGCCGACCGAATCATTCAGAGGATTGGTCAGGTGGTGTACAAGCTTGAGCTACCACCCGAGATGTCATTGGTGCACTTGGTATTTCATGTGTCTATGCTGAAGAAAGTAATCGGAGATTCGTTGCTTATCGTGCTAGTTGAGACTATTGAAGCTAATGAGGAACTGTCATATAAGAAATTCCAGTTGCCATTCTTGGCAGGCAAGTTTGGAAGTTTAGAAATAAAGAAATTGCCTCCGTGAAAGTGTTATGGTGAAACCAACAAGTTGAAGAAGCTACTTGGGAGGCCGAGGAAGAGATGAAGAGGAAGTATCCTCACTTGATTGAATAGTTGTGTAATCCTTTTTATGAAATAGTCACCTATGAATTTTGTATCACTTGTTCAGTTAATGTAAAGGTATTCCCTTTTGGTTATATGTTGCTTATAAGGCCACGGTTGGTGTTATTTCGTGTTGTGTTACGTCAGTGGAATATGTATATGTTGTTAGGATGTGTTTTGGGGTTCTCTGACAGGCGGATAGGCCTAATTACAGAGGGAACTCTAGCAAAAATTTTGGAATCTAGGGAGTTAGTCAAATTTTAGGTTGCTGGTATGTGGTGTGAAAACTGAAGTTGCATAAGGTGCTATTAAGTGAACCTTGATCCTCACTCGAGGACGAATGATCTTAAGTGGGGGAGGATGTAAGGCCCCGTAAATTTTTACCTAAAACACGGAATTGGATTGAACAATACGCTTCAGAGCTAAAGGCAAATGTTATGCAGAGGTGTGCATTTCTGCGGGCCATTATGCGGCCGCATAATCACTCTGCGGGCTGCATTTTGGCCCGCAGAGTGAGGTAGTCTTTTTGGCCAATTTGGAGGCTAGTTTCGCGGCCAATTATGCGACCGCATAACCATTTCGTGTGCCGCACTTTGGTCACATAATCGTCCTTGGACTTTTGTGAAGGGAGGTTCTGTGGCGCATTATATGATCGCAGAACAGGTCTGCGGACCGCATATTGGTCACAGACCGGAGCAGAAAATTCAATCCCCTGAGGGCCACTTTTCGCGGTCATTTCGCATACCACATAGCCATTATGTGATCGCATATGCGACCGCAGATCCGTGCCAGGGCTCCAAATTTCTAATTTTTAGGCCCGATCCTCTATCGATATATCATATGCTATACCTTTAGAGTGAGAAAGAGGGTCCTAGAGGGAGAAAGGTTTCTTCATCAAAAATTACTCAATCCTTTCTTAAAACCTTGAAGATTGTCAAGTAAAGTTCACTAAGTCTTCACCTTAAAGGTAAGAATCTATGCCTAGCTCTTAATTTCGAATTATCTACTAAAAATGGGTAGTTAGCAAGATGGTTCATGGGTTTGAGGGTTATCTATTTTGCATGCATGTGTGGAGAAAGAATGTGGGAGGACTGTGAGCTAAAAATGGTAAAAGATGGGTGGTGGAATGATGGAATCTTGCACAAAAGGGGTCTTAAAACATAATGCACACCTAGTGTTTGATAATGTGCTCAAATGAGCTAGAATCTTGATCATCCTTCTAATTCTCGAATCAACTTGTTATATTCCTAAAATAGATTGAAGGTGCTAAGAGTTCCGGAATTATTGTAGAATTTAAGGAAAGCTCTATTTAGGTATGTATGGCTAAAACCCCCCCTCTTCTTAGAATTGAACCCCTTGGTGTTCATGCTATCGGTGTAAGTCCCAAATTAATCGTTATAGAAATTACTGTTTCGAAATGTTCTTGTGTTGAAATACATATGTGCAATATATTTGTTCCAAGGCTCTTATCATGTTATCTTATCATTTGAAGGTGTGTTAAAATACGGAATATGTGCTACGAATGCCTAGACTTCAAGTCAATTTGAATAAAGATTGTTATGCCAAAGTATGTGAAAGCCTCTATGCCTAAGACTTATAATCGCTCACGTTTATACTTAATATCTTGAATTGAAAGGCTTGTTTGTTGAGAATGATGATAATGCTTGAGATTGATTAAAGTGCGTATGAAATATGAAATACGGCCGAGGGCCAAGGTGCAATAAAACAATTGTGGCCACTAGTGCTGATGAACTAAAAGACGTGAAAGAAATTTGAAATGGGATAATTGATAGAAAATGGTAATGTCTCGGGTGAGACGGCCTAGCCGATCGGGCCGTGATCGGACACCATGCTGCACACATGGTGGTATTTGTGCTGGGAAAAAAATTGAAACTTGAATTTGAGAATGAAATTGTGATTATGGTTAATGTCTCAAATGAGACGACCTAGCCGATCGGGTCGTGATCGGACTCTGCATAAGAATGCGGTGGTATTGTGGAAGATGGTGTATCAATATTAAAGATGTCTCAATCTAAAGCTATGGAAATTACTTGAAAGCTTATGTGATTCTCAATTTGATGTTGTGGTGTTGTTTAAGGCTTCCATCAATTTTATAAGTACTTTCTTCTTGTATTATTGTTCATTCTAATGAGATCTTGTTTAGTTATATATACTATTACTATTCGGCAGTACTAACGTCCCTTTTGCCGGGGGCCTTTAAATGAATGTAAGTGGTTCCATAGCAGGCAGTGTCGATCGCAGCTAGTGGCGCACCCTCTTTCCAGCTGACTTGGTGAGCCCCACATCATTTTGGGGTCTTGTACCTTTTGTATCTTTTGTTCATCTTCTTATCATGTTTTGAGGTATAGTCGGGTCCTTGTTGCCGGAACTTTTGTATTACTCTCTTCTTTATCTACTTAGAGGCTCCATAGACATTATGCGGGTTGTATATGGGTGTTGGAAAGGTCAACGGATTATGTTGTGTTTTGGACTCTTGTTCCACTAAATCGTAAAGTGTATGTATTTTGAAACCTAACAATGATGTAACCAATGAAATGGCTTAGTAATGTACTGGTATGATCTCCTATTGTCTAGTTAATGAAAACATGCCTTCTCTTGATCGTAAGTGAGTTGGGTAGAAAGTGTCTAACGGGCTTCTCGGTCGGGTTCACTCGGTTGAGCGTCGGTCGCGCTCCCCGAGCTTGGGGCGTGACAACTTTATTAATCGAAATTGGTTTCTCTTGCATTTTTTTTATCTTATTTAAGTCATTTTTGGCTAGATTTGAGCCGAGCAGAGGTGAATGTTAAAGAAAAAATATTTTATTATTGAATTGATCAGATTGACGTAAGTATCTTGCCTAACTTTGTGCGGGTGAATTTACCCTTAGGATTTGGTCTAAGTTGCATTAGTTGTACTATGTGAAATGATGTGTACATAAGGTGACAAGTGTATGCACGGGCATATGTGTGGTAGTTGACCGGATTTGCTCTTAGGCTATTGATATGCCTTGAATTGTAGTTGTTTATTATATGAAGCACATTTTATTGTTGATTCACTCCCTACACCCTAGTGTTATTGTTGTGAATCTTGTACACATTGTTGTTGAGTTGTGAGTTATATATTGTTGTGGCTTTTGTATTGTTGTTTGGGCGATATTGTGGCATATGTGTACGTGTGGCACGAGTTGACTGTTGTGTTGTGAATGAAATACACATTCACCGACATAAGAGAGGTGATAATTGATGCGCATGCGGCGAGATAAGTGGGTTTATGCGTGTGTTTCAAGTGAGGGAAAATACTTCATTGTCATGCATATGCAGCGAGATAAGGGGGCTTATGCACGTGAAACTATATAAGGGGAAATATTTAATTGTGAAGCTCGCGCAGCGTCATAAGGGTGACATGTTGATTATGTTTTTTGGTGTTTCGGGTGAATCTTGTAGTTATTTTGTGTTGGAACGGGTTAATTATTTGAACATGTCATTATTTTCCTTAAATGATTTTACTTTGTATTTTTTTACGAGTTGTTGGTTAATTCGTCGTGTTATCACATGTCCTACTCTTAATTGCTATTTATTTTGTCTTGCTTTCCGTTGTTAGTTTTATATTGATATTCTAAACAGGTTATTTGTATAGTAAGTGTGTTGACTTGAATATCGTCACTACTCCACCGAGGTTAGTCTTAATACTTAGTGGTTACCGATTCTGGTGTACTCATACTACACTCTTGCACAATTTTGTGCAGATCCGTGTACCTCAGAGCGTGTTGGTCGTTAGTGAGCTGATCCCGAGTTGTTGTGCAGACTTCAAGGTATACGTGTTATTCCGCTCGCATGCCTCGGACTCGTCCTTTATTGTTTCCTTACTACTGTTTATTGTATGCCAAACAGTGCTATATTTTGAGATTTATTATGTACTTCTTGTAGAGTTTATGACTCCGTATCACCGAGTTTTGGGGTTGTGGTTGTTGTATTACCATATTGGCCATGTTTTGGGCCATTTTCTTAGTTTTATTTAATATTAAGTTGTTATATTTGGTCTGGTATTATTGTGTGATAGGATTACCTAGTCTTAGGGACTAAGTGTTATCACGATGCTTAAGGTGAAATTTTGGGTTGTGACACCGATCGAATCATTCCATCTACGTCACTATATTCCTCCTTCTGAAACTCGCCAATAATTTCCTGCATGCACTTCCGATCCAACATGGATTTGAGGGAATCATTGACCTCAGCAAGGGCTTCAAAATCCAGAGGTCAAAAGCAAGAACCTCTGGGTTAAAGCTGTGTCCGTAGGGCAAAGTTTTCAACGGCTAAGAGGGTAAAATATTCACCCCTTTCCCTCTGTTTTTTCTTTTTTTGTTTCCCTGATTTCATCCGAGTTATCATCGATATTTCGTCACTATTTCTTCTCATCTTTTGATCGAATCTGAAGTTCAAAAATTTCAAATTCTAAAGCCCCAAATTTTGGCTATAAATACTGGGCTTTAATGCCCTTACCAACCAAGCATCAATAGTTCAGTAAATGCACTAGACTAAATAGAAAGAGCATTAAAATATCTAGCTTATTTACTCACATCACAGTCTTTTCCTCTTTTCTTGCTTTCATTTCTAGTCGAGTGTTTAGTTGATTTCGGACATAAGTCCTTAATGGCTAAGGTTCAATGCTTTGTTTGTTGCCATGAAAAAGTCTGTTTGCTTTCATTCCGTTTGTTTCAATGTTCGAATTTCTGTGCATGATAAGTAAGTCTGATAGTTCTCATGTTTGATGTTAGTTAAAAACTTATGTTGACAAATATTGTATAGGAAGAAAAAAATCTCATTTACAAAGATGTATTCATTCCTCCCACTTTTGCCTTTACCCTTTATGTGCAAATACTAATCGGATTTTCCCTTTTCTTGCATGAGTACCTTGGGCCAGTG